AATTGACGATATCATACGAATTTATGGTTGGAATTTGTAAGTTTTTATAACATTTGATTTATTTTAATGAGTTCTAGGTATTAGATCGTGAGATATTTTTTATATAATTATAAAAGGTTTTATTAGTAACATCTTTTAATTTTTTATCAAAATTTTGAAAATCATATAATAAAATAATCTACATGAACTTTACTCTTTTTTTTTTTTTTGGTAATGAACTTTACTCTTTTTTTTTTTTTTGGTAATGAACTTTACTCTTAATTGCAGATATAATTATTTTTTCATATATTAATTTTTTTTACTTATAGAATTATAAAAAATTTTGTTAATTTTTGATTAATTAATAAAACTTTTACAATATTACAGGATGATTTCAAAAATCAGCTAATTACAATAAAAGTTTACTATGCTGCTATAACAGAATATCGATTATCAACCTAGTATTATCTAAATTTCTACAAGTCTCTAAAATAAAACAAAAAGAACTATTAATATTACATAAATGTTAATGTAATTTCACATGTTTATTAACAATTAAATTGCAAATATTAAAAAACTGAAAAAAAATAAATCAAAGCAAAATTAATTAAGTGGTAGATCGCAGTTGAAGGGTATAAATTTCATAATAAAAATCGGCGGAAAATTACTATTACATTCATATAATGTTGGAATGCTGGAAGTTTCTGGCATTATGTAAAAATCATATAGTTATAAAGGAGAAAATGCCAATATCTCGCGATCTACCGAACCAATTTGAATAATTCTACCACTATTAGAACCGGAATGACTTGTTATATAATCTTTGTTAGAAACTCAAGGAAGGTTTACTTGGCATGAAAAAACTTTTCATTGTAAGCTAGCTGCATTTCAACCCTATAAAAAAACCATATCAACTTCCGGTAATTTTTACTATTATATTAAATTCGCTATTTTTATACCCTTTTAACCACGATTTACCTTAAATATTATTACAAATAAAATAGAGAATGACTATTTCCACCCCCCACATGATCTAGCCGATCTCCGAACCCTGACTTTGAAGTTACGGTTTATAAAAATTCTGGTCACGTGACCTTTATTTGTGTAACATATTCGTCTGATTAGGGTTAGTAGAGGGTCGGATAGTAGTAACACTCATAAAATATCTTTACCGTTAACAGTAATCTATTTATTTATTAACAGTATTATTTTTATTTAATTTTATATTTAATTTATATAACTTTCTATATATTAAACACTACCTATTTCAATATCTAACCTTTTGTATATACATTTAACATCATATTTAATATAAATATCTAACATGAACTTTCATAATAAAACAGTAATTAATATTCTATTAGAATATTTATTTGTAATTACATTATAAACTTATTGATCTAAAAATTATATAAAAACATAATAGTCGGTTAGTTTATTGTTATTTTAAAATTTTTTAGGATATGCATAATATATAAGAACTATATAAATTTTTATTTTTTTTTCAATAATGTTTACCTTGTTAAATTATTTCTTTCCTTTTAATGATGAAATTTAGTCAGTTTAGTAATCTTATAACCTTCGCAATAATTATTTTTAAACATACCTCTGCTAGGTAAAATGTATTATGAAAGTTGGGGATTAAAAGGGATTAAAATTATGTCTTAATACAGCACGAAAGCTTCAAGTTTGTTTAGTGAATTTTGTGTAACATCGACGGTTCCTCCTGTTCTAAAATAGATTTGACCAACACATAAATGTTTTGAATTTTTTTGTGTACGTACGTGATTTTACGTGTTCAAAACAGTAAAACCATTGTTTACATTCAGACCGGGCTTATAAAATTACCAAAACATAGACTTTTTTTTTTATAGATTCTAACTTCAGTTTGTTAAGCATGGATAAAGAAAATAAGAAAAAGATTTATGAGCACCTTTATAATAATTCTGTTACACCAACACCACAACCAAAAGAAAGATTATCATCAAAAGCCACTTATGAGCAAGAACAAGCTGAAAGACGTCGTTTACTGGAAGAGTTTAAAAAGAAAAAAGAATTGGAAAAACAAAAAAAAAAGTAACAACCTTTTCTATAATCGCTTGTAAATATTTAACATGTAGGACTATTTAAATTCAAATTACACAAAACGATATAAAGGAACGCAAGACCGACCACAATAATTACTAGATCAAAATCGAAAGAAGTTCCAAAACTTGGTCTGACTTTAGATCGTGCTAAAAAAATCCAGTACACTCCCAAAATTCAAAAAATGAGTTTACCACGTAAAACTTCTTTCACGGGCAAGGCAGAAACTCCCATTTCATTTTCATCCATACACTCTTTTGGAAAAGCGCAGCGAATTCTGCCGTTAAGCAAGACATTGGATAATCAAATCAATAATGATTATTTAAATATGCAGTTAGGTATGATGACTATAGCCAACAACAATGAATCGACATTGGCAACACTAGAATCGCAAGTAGATATTACACCTAAACGCATAAGTTCAAACCCGATGATAAAAACGCCTACTAAAATACAATGCGTTTTGACAACGAACGAAGAACCAAGTTATCGGAACAATGATAGTATTCCAACAGAAGAACAATCAACACCAACTAGGTCACCTTTACCTGAACCACTAACTAGTCGCAGGCGTTCTAAAATATTTCATAGTCCAGTGGCAAATGTAGTTGGAAAAGCCAGGCGCGTAAGGGTACCATCATTGAATCTTTCGGGAACACCTAAACGTGCTAAAGTAATAGAATCAATAGAAGGTTTCAGTGAAGAAGGCAAAATCCAAAATGACTTGGATTACATCAATTCAAATGCAATAAATCTAACACCATTAAATCCACGCAAACGTTTATCAATATTTCCTAGTCCATCGGTTGAAGTGTCGGAAACTTCACAACAGTTTGTAAAGATGATAGCGAACAAAGATCTCAATGATGACATTAGGGATGGTAAAGTTAGGTTAAGTTTGGTTTAGGCTCTAAAATCTTTAGATTCCAAATTAAAAACCAAAGAACTAAGTTTTTATATAAGTTAAAACCTGGTTTGGTTTAGAACAAAATTTTAAACCTGGTTCTCAATTTTTATAAGTTACAAAAAATAAAAAATATACTAGAAAATGCGTAGCATTGTGTTCGGTGTTAATATAATAATCCTATATATATATTATATGTTATACAGTATTATTTGTCGTTTAAACAATACAGGATATAGTGTTAATTGGAGTATTATACTTCGGAACTGTTTAAAATTAAACTTATAAATAGAAATTTGTAGTCTCGTTTCTAATTTACAGGAGAGACCGTTGATGTTACACAACTAATTTGACATCTGGTGTGCACCTCGATTATAAGTTCAGTAAAATTGAACTGGACTTTATAGGTCCAGTTTATAAGTCCAGTAGAGCGGACTTTTGGTCCAGAGCTTAACACTGTGTGCAACATATAAAATAATTATTTTACAATTTAACTAGTACATGTGAGAGGAAGTCAATAGAAAAGGAACAAATTTTTTTTAAGTAAAGTTTTCTTGACTTTAAGCTTAAATATCTTAACAACTATTTTATTAAATTTAATAAATTTTTATTTATTTTAGTTTTATATAATTTCAAGATTAAAATAAAAATATTTTTAGCAGATTTGATTAAATACAGTAAGGTAACATGGCATTATGAACATTTTTTGAATTTTAATAGTTCAAAATTGGGTAAGTAAATATAATATGAAATTTTTGTCACATGATTAGTAGATCTCAAAGTACAACATACTACAATTTCATGTAATTTCATTTGATCATGCAGAAGTTATGTAAAAAAACTCATGAACTTAGTTTTTTTATTTGTATTAAATCTCAAAATTTGTTTTTTTTTTTTTTTTTTTATAATTTTTTTTTAACAAAACAAAAAATTAATTATATTTTAATATCTGAGAAAACTCTTTTTAGTCTTTATACAAGCATTAACCTGATTAGACATGCTGGTAATGAGTTTATGTTAAAGTTTTGATAGTATATTATATCATACTCTTTTAACAAAAACATCCAACTTGTTGAGATTACTTGGTCTTTTCTTTTAACATAAAGACATCTTTATCTCAGTTTACAAATTCTTAATCAGATTAAGATCTGGGTTCTGTGGAGGTCAGTCCATCACACAAACCTGATTTTTATTCAAAAATTCTATTGGTATTGCATCAATGTGGAGTTTTGTATTATTCTAGATGAAAATTAGACAATTAAGATTATTGTTTTCAGAAAATTTTTTTATAATAAGAAGAGCATATTTCTGGAGAATTTTAAGGTGTGAGGTACCAGTTGCAGAAGATTTTAGGGAAACAAGGAGTCTAACTTCAAATCAGAAAAAATAGCCCCAATATATATGACCTGAACTACAATCTACAGTATATTTTATACAGTTAATTTTCTATGATTCATATTACATATGACTAAGAGAACCAAGAAAGAGATGAACATAGGTTTCATCTAATCACAATATATGTTTAAAATGATGAACAGACCAATCTTGATATGCAAGTGCTTATTCATATCTTTTTTGAACATTTGCAGCTGAAATAAATAATTTCAGAAAACAACATGCAAGAATAAGTTTAAGTCATACAAAACATAATACATGATCTATTCAGAAATTTTGGTTTCATTTTGGCAGTTATGAAGATTGATTATTTGAATCAGACTAAGATGGCAGTTGCCATTTGTGACTAAGTTCTTTAGGTCTTCAAGATCCAAAACAGTTAGAATCTTTAAAAAACCAAGCTTTTTTTTTTTTTTTTATGCTTTTTTACTCAACTCATTATATTTATTTATTATATTTTAGATGACCAACTTGTCACAATTAGCTGCAGTTGCAATTGTATAAAGTAAGTTCCTACATTTGTGCCTATAGATTATTGCTTCTCTTTGACTTTCTATTAAATCTTATTTGTGGTCTATTTTTTATAAAAAAAAAAAAAAAACTGATGATCTTTTTTTTTATTTATACTAATTCATTATATATATATGTCTTTTTTTATATTATATAATATTATCTAGATATTATGTTATATTTGAGTAAAATTTGAAATGATTCAAACAAAAATCTGATTTTTTATAATTTTTTTTTTAAAAAAAAAAAAAATATCAAAAAATCGATTTTTATACAAATCCAAATATGGCAGTTTGTCTTACCTTTTGTATAACTTCAGAGCAATCTAATAAAACTATGCAAAATTTTAGTATATTGTACCTCAAGATTTATCAAACATATGAAAAAAACTTCATACTATGTTTACTTATCTGATTTCAAACTATTAAAATCCAAAAAATGTCTATAATGCCATGCTACCTCACTGTAGTTGTTGAGTTATTTAAATTTAAAAATTAAAAAAATTTTACTAAAAATAATTTGTCTTTTTTCTATTGACTCATTTCTATGTTATGATTATAATTATAATATGTACTAGCAGAATGTTTGGTATTGTAAAATAGGATTTTCTTTAGTATAAATAGATATATATAAATTATTATAATATATAAAACCTAACAAATTTAAATTAATTTGATTTTTTTTCAACTAGCTTCTTTGAAATTAGAGTTTTTATTTAATAATTTAAACATAAAGATTTGTGATTAATGTTTTAAGAAACTTTTTTATATTAAAAAATATAATTAATTACATTGTTACAGGGTTGTAGCCTTCTTGGTACAATACAACCAAGTAACAAAGTCACCTGGTACAGTGATTGACTATTGCAAATATATACAGGGTGGAAGTGTAGTAGTTCACTTTACTACACAGCAGC